GGTTACTGCTGAACTTTTTTTCTTGGGAGGGAAGGGCTAGCTTACGAGTTCCTATGAATGTCTGATAGCGTGATGCATGGCTGCGTGGGGGCCTCCAAATATGGGTTACAAACTCGTTCTTGTTTTAAATATTTCTGCTTTGTCCAGTTGGAAACTTTTCAGGAGAAGTTGTTTTATAGGTGAAAAGGCTTTTGGGAACCGGTAGCTCAATCCAGTGTATTGGCATGGAACTGGAAAGTAGAGAGTGCCTCTACCATCATACCTTGCTGGGGTCATTTGACCCCAGCAGTTTTCCTGGCCTAGAGTAGGGGGGATGAACCTGATTCTCTCACAAGGTCCCTTCCAAGCCTAAACTTCCGTGAATCCCTAACGACTCTGCAAGGCAGGTGCCAGTCTTTCAGAATTCCTTTTGACTCTGGTCCACATCACTTTACAGCAAGTTTAGTCAGCACTACTGGTCAGGGGTGCCCTACTCCTGGCCTGCAGACTAGATCTGGCTAGTGGAGCTGTGTAATTTGGCCTGCGGGTCTCTGCATGGGTTTGAAGGGGCCACTCCTATGTAGCTTTTTTAGGCCCTGGCTGGGTCAGCATTGTGCAATGTAGTTGCAGACCGAATTCAGTCCAAAGACAGACCTGGCACTGCTCATCCAACCTTGGCACCACTGTTGTAGGTAGCTTCCTTTCCTTTTAGATTAAGAAGGTATGCTAAATGTCTTGGGGTGCAGTCAATAGGGCTTTTCTATAGATATCAGTAGGCTTTGGATTGAGTCCAACGCAACTGATACGTTTATCTGATGGCTGATGGTCATTGATGTACTTCTAAGTATGTCAACAGTAACTAAGCCTGCTGCTTCAAGTTCTTCAGTGGTGGGTCAGAAATTGGAATCAGCAAGGCTGGTGAGCTATACTTCCTGTATACTCTATACCTAAGGAAGTTGCTCCTTCCTAGCAGGTTATTTTCCCTGATATTTTCAACCTCCTTGTGATGCAAATTTATACAAGTTTCCTCTGTAATTACACCCTTTGTTTATCAGAGCATTTCCTTTACTGCCCAGTTTAAAAAATGTCTTGCAAGCTCTGGTAGCTTTTATCTAAACAGTTTTCCTCTTACAACTTAAACCATCCTCACAGCTCCATGAATCTAAAACCATCCTTTTTTTATTCCTAGCATGCCCATTCATTGGTTTCCAGCATCAATGCTTTGCTTGCTTTGCTTGCAAAACTTCCCTGTTCAGCTGTCCTTCCTCAGGTACTTGCTATGTTGACTCTTTCCAGAACGTCCGTTGAGCTCCTTGTCCTATCATTTGCCTGGGCCTTTGATGTTGCACCTTATATTGTTTTCTATAAAAGTAAAACTTCTGTCCAGAGTGAACCCACAGGAGATTTTTCATGGATTATAAGTAGCTTTTTATGGACTGAAATAAGGAATCCTGTAAAATTAATAGCTTCTTCTGGATATTCTCACAACAAGCTTCTCACATGCTGCATAACAAAGGAGGTCACATGTAAAAGGGAATGTGGGATTTCATAACTATCAAATAGGAGAAATCACACATTTCTTCGAGTAAAGTACAGATGACTTGCAGTGAAATAAGGTGAATGATTTTTATGAATTGGCCTCTACTTTGCATCAGATGAAATAAACTCAGGAAAACCTTTGTATACACTGTGTTCTTAGTGAAAACACACAGTTAAAACAGAGTAAACTGTCAAAGCGAGAGCATACATGAAGGGGTCACATTAGTCTGTTTCATTTACGCAGCTGATTGCTCTGTTTATAATTATTTGTAAATAAAAAAGCTTTGATTGTATTTTACTGCAAAAACATTAGCTTTCTTGGCATGGGAAATTTAGAACAGGCACAAAATTAACAAAAAAGGACATCGGGCCAGAATCCTGGCTTCCTTTCATCTGCTTTGCTCTACTCCAAGGATATAAAACATCCCTAATGCTAGCTTAATCAGCCCCTTGAGGGTGCCCACATTGCTGTGGAATCCTCAGTTGGCTTGATGCCCATCATGGCAGTTCACTTCCCAGCTCTTTGCAGGAAAGTAGGACTGGGGCATCTCTAGATACTGTCAGTCCCTGGATTCTGGAATAATTCTGTGGAGAGTTAACGTAAGTTATAGTGACCATCAGTTACTTTACTTTGTGTTAGGAATCTAAGTTTGTGCCCAATAACCTTAGGATTCAAGTGTTAAGGCTCCTGTAAGAACTTTTATAAAAATTGTCCTTAGCTGTCGGCACTTCAGAATATGTTGCTGGTTCAAATGAGTCTTGTACTGAGAACAGCTCAGGTGGTGGTGATTCATAGATGCTAGGGTTGGAAGGGACCTCAATAGATCATCGAGTCCGACCCCCTGCATAGGCAGGAAA